CTAGACGGAAGATGATTACTATTGAAAAGTCAAGCAACAATTGTTGAAAAGCAACAAGTTGGCCAAAGTTTTCGGTGGCTTTCGGTGCACACTGAAATTGTGAAAAAATTTAGCTGATTTTGTTGAAATTGAGTAAGCGAAAAATTACAGATTTAGCCCTTACACTTTAGGATATTTACAAGATGAGTCCTTAAGCTTCAACTATAAATACCCTAACCCATTTAGCTTTAAAATCATCCCAAATCATTCTAGCTTTCTCCCAATACTAGAGAATTTAGAGAGTTTCTTGAGAGTTGTTTTCTCATTTTTTATCAAGAGAGAATTGTTATTGTTTTCTCCTTGTTAGATAGAGAGAAGTTGTAATTCTTATTTTCTCATAGTGAAATTCTTCTACATTTGCCCGTGGTTTTTACCCTACATTATTTAGGGGTTTTTCACGTAAAATTTGTGTCTTCTTTTTATTTTCTCAAATTATCAGTTGCGATTTTGCTCTATTCGATAGCCATATTCCGCAACAATTAATATCAAGAGCTAGATTTGAGTGTGTAATATGTACTTATTGTCTTTGTGGTTACCACCAAAAGGTAGATCCTCCAACATAAGTAAGAAGGTATTACACATTCTTTGAAGGTTCCATAGAACTATTCACGATAGTGAAATAGTTGGAGCTATTCGTAATGGAAGCTATGATAACGAAATTTGATATTGAAAAGTTCAATGAGAGAAATTTCTCATTGTGAAAATTGAAGATGAAGGCCATCCTGAGGAAAAACGATTGTTTAGCAGCTATCAGTGAAAGACCGGTAAATTTCAAAGATGACAACAAATGGATCGAAATGGACGAGAATGCTATGGAAAAATTTCATCTAGCATTAGCAGATGAAGTATTGTCAAACATCAAAGAGAATAAGATAGCTAGAATGATATGGGATCATCTCACCAAAACTGTATTGATGGATTAAAGAGGATCGCTTGTAGGATCCTACTACCCGCAAAGTGATCATCAACAGGGATGTTATCTTTATAGAAGATAAACTACAAAGAAAAGAAGAATATGGCAGTGCTGGAAAGTCAAAGACTACACAGATACATGTGGAAAATGAGTTTGAATAAGAAGATTCTTCTGAAGTAGAACAAACACATGATGAACAAGAACCAGAGAGTTCTGAAGCTCCAACAACTCGTCAATCAGATCATGTGAAAAGACGTCCCAATTGGCACTCAGATTATGTTATAGAAGGAAATATTGCATACAACCTTTCAACAAAGGACGGTGAGCCATCAACATACCAGGAGGCAATAAACAGCTTAGATGTTTCACTGTGGATGATGGCAATGCAAGAAGAAATTGAAGTCCTTCATAAAAATAATACATGGGACCTTGTGTCACTACCACAAGGAAGGAAGCCAATTGGTAACAAATGGGTCTTCAAAATCAAGCGAAATGGTGAAGATCAAGTGGAGAGGTATCGTGCAAGATTGGTAGTCAAAGGATATGCTCAAAAAGAATGTATTGATTTCAATGAAATCTTTTCTCCTGTGGTTCGACTGACAATAGTTCGAGTAGTCTTGGCAATGTGTGCTATATTGAACTTACATTTAGAGCAGCTAGATGTTAAAACAACCTTTCTTCATGGAAATCTTGAAGAAGAGATTTATATGCTCCAGCCTAAAGGTTTTGAAGAAAAAGAAAAGAAGAATTTGGTTTACAAGTTGAACAAATCTTTGTACGGTCTAAAGCAGGCGTCAAGATGTTGGTATAAGAGATTTGATTCCTTCATTATGTGCCTTGGATACAACAGACTTAACGCATACCTTGTGCTTATTTCAAGAGGTTTGGTGATAACGATTTTGTTATATTGTTGTTGTATGTGGATGACATGTTGGTTACAGGACCCGATAAAGATCATATTGAATAATTGAAGGCACAATTGGCTAGGGAATTTGAAATGAAGGACTTGGGATCAGCAAACAAGATTCTAGGGATGCAAATTTACCGAGACAGAAGTAATAGAAAGATTTGGCTTTCACAAAAGAATTACTTGAAGAAGATCTTGTAACGATTCAACATGCAAGATTGTAAGTCAATTTCTACCCTTCTTCTATTAACTTCAAATTATTCTCCAATATGAGTCCTAGTAGTGAAGAAGAGAGGATGGAGATGTCTCGAGTACCGTAAGCATCAGCAGTGGGAAGTTTAATGTTCGCTATAATATGCACAAGACCAAACATTGCACAAGAAGTGGGAGTGGTTAGTCGATACATGGTGAATCCAGGAAAAGAGCATTGGAATACAGTAAAGAGGATCCTGGGATACATCAAAGGGACCTCAAATGTTGCATTATGTTATGGATGATCAAACTTACTTATCAATGGGTATGTCGATTCTGACTATGCAGGGGATTTGGATAAAAGCAAATCTACTACAGGATATGTGTTCAAAGTTGCTGGTGTAGCTATAAGTTGGGTTTCAAAATTACAGTCAGTTGTGGCTACGTTCACAACAGAGGCAGAATATGTAGCAGCTACATAAGCCAGTAAAGAAGCAATATGGTTGAAGATGCTAGTGAATGAGCTTGGGCACAATCAAGAGTATGTCTCTCTGTTTTGTGACAATCAAAGCATCTTACATTTACCAAGGAATCCAGTATTTCATTCAAGGACAACGCACATACGAGTTCAGTACCATTTCATTCGTGAAAATGTGGAAAAAGAGACGGTAGATATGCAGAAAATCCATACCAAAGACAACATAGCAGATTTCATGACGAATGCGATCAATGCTGATAAATTTACTTGGTGTCGATCCTCTTGTGGCCTGTGAGAAACGTAAGAAACATGAATGGTACAAGGTAGAAAGAATGGCGTGAAGATATGATTTTTCCAATCAAATCTTCAAGTGAGAGATTGTTGAAAAGTCAAGCAATAATTGTTGAAAAGCAACAAGTTGGCCAAAGTTTTCGGTGGCTTTCGGTGCACACCGAAATTTTAAAACAAATTAGTTGATTTTGTTGAAATTGGATAAGGGGAAAATTGTAAATTTAGTCCTTACACTTTAGGGTATTTACAAGATGAGTCATTAAGCTTCAACTATAAATATCCTAACTCATTTAGCTTCAAAATCATCTCAAATCATTATAGTTTTCTCCCAATACTAGAGAATTTAGAGAGTTTTTTTAGAGTTGTTTTTCATTTTTTATCAAGAGAGAATTGTTATTGTTTTCTCCTTGTTAGATAGAGAGAAGTTGTAATTCCTATTTTCTCATAGTGAAATTCTTCTATATTTGCACGATGTTTTTACCCTAAATTATTTAGGGGTTTTCCATGTAAAATTTGTGTCTTTTTTATCTTCTTTTTATTTTCTCAAATTATCAGTTACAGTTTTGCTCTATCCGATAACCGTATTCCATAACAATTACAGCCACAGTGGTTCGTTCATGGTGAACCCTTGGAAGCTTTGTCCAGTTACAAGGGTAAAAAGGTGCACAATTTTAGAGATAATATTTAGGATCGTGTTTTGTGTTGTATGCACAATTTTAGTCAACATTATTAAGTTAGGTGTGTTAAGAATAGTTTATTTATTATTTAATTTTCTTAATATTTTATACATTGGTTTTATTAAAATTTAAAATAATTTTTTATCTAATTAGAATATTTTATTCAATTTTCTTTATATTTATGAATAATATAATTACGATTAAATTTAAAAAAGACGTTTTAATTATGTAAAACAAAGTCACATTTTATTAGCAGTTCAATTTTTTTTAAATGTTCGGTCTTTTAAATAATATATTTTAAGGGTTTATTCAAAATTTAGGGGGAAATAATTGTTTAGATTTAAAATATGAAAAAAATGTTCTGAAATAGTATTTATTACCAACAAAATTATCACCTGATAATATTATAAATTAAAACAAAATACCAACAATCAGTTTATCTAATGGGATGAGGCACTAGATCCCATAAGTAATATCAATGGTTCGAATCCTAGTGATTGTGAATTGAGTAAACTGGATTGGGAGACTCGTCCTTGCTAGGGTTGTTCAAAAAAACCCAGAACCGTTAACCATAATCGTTAACTAGTATAATTGTTACATTTAACAGATTAATTAACTGAGTCGTTAATATTAAATGATTTCGGTTAACTGAACCGCTAAAAATGTTGGTTAACGGTTAAGATTACGGTTACAAGTTTTGATAAACCGTCAACCAACGGTTAACCGATAAGAAATTAAATTTATAATTATATTTCTAATTTATTATATTTTTACACAAATGAATTAATATAATTTTCTTTTATTTATAATTTATATATATATAATAAAACTTGTATACAAATAATTTAATATGTATATATTTTTATCATTTTTAATTTTTATTTATTTGAAAATATAGAAATATTCTTACACCAATATAATTATATATTTATTGTTAGGTACTAAAATATTTGAAAATGTACATAATTATACCGATGTAAGTATACATTAAATGTTACACTTTTTTATTTTATTTACTTACATTGTTTTAAGTATATGTTAAGTTATATATATTTTTTGTAGTACGAATTATAAAAAATTTAGTAAATAATTGTAATAAGTTAACCATAGGTTCACATGTAACCAAATCATTGATAATGATTAACCGTTAACGGTTAACCATTTCTTAATAGTTTTACAATTAGAAAAATCTCATAACCATTATAATATTAACCAATCATTTAAACTAAATGGTACGATTAATCATCCAAGAACAATCGTAATCCTTGTCTCTACAATACTAAATCCAAATTAATTTATCAATAAATAAAAAATAGATGGTTATACCCAAAAAAACATGCAATATATTTTTGTATTTTATATCTAAAACATATTTATCTGTTTAAAATCATTAACTCCAATTGATAATCTTCCTTCAATTATTTATGAGAATATTCAAATATATGTTGATAAATATACCAAACTAAATTTTAATAAATTAATTGGACTTAATCAAGGCAATAGTAATACTAACCCAATATTTTATTTGGCAAAAAAAGCACTCTAAACAATACAAGTGAAATTAAAAGGGTACAAATTAAGATTATCATCCATTTGAAACGAGGGAATTTGTTGAAATTCATATTCCTACTAGCTTATAGATTAAGCAAGTTTTCCCATATAATTGGCATTCAAGATCCAAATCATTGCAAATCTATACTATACATCAACTTAAAGCCCTTTGTTCAGATTTATGAAATTCACATCCAAATTGCTTCTTTGAAAGTTGCTTAGCTCCCACAAGCCATGCACTCCTCACGGTTCGTTAGGGAACACACCATTTGTGCCATTTTTGTTTCATCGTCTACCTTGGGCTTTTCCTATATCACCAGAAACAATTCACAAATTATTTGATATTGCAATGCTGGTTTGACTTTGTTACAAATCTATATTCGTTACCTCAAGCATGGATGTATCAACGGTGAATTTGATTGCATCGGCTGCAGCACGAGATCTTAGATAATACATTCCTGTCTTCAGACCCTATATAGTCAAGGACATTATATAAACAGTGAATCACCAATCTTTCATGCAAAATTTATTACCTTTGTTTGATCATGATAAAGACCAAATTTTATTACCTTAGACCAGGCATAGAAGTGCAAGGAAGTTAGCTTTCCAAAATTTGGTTGGTCCATATGTATGTTTAAGCTTTGACTCTGGTCTATGAAGCATCCACGATCAACAGCCATGTCAACAAGTGTTTTTTGCTTGATTTCCCAAACAGTCCTGGTAAATTAAAATGAAATATAAAAATTAAGTTTCACTGTTTACTTTAAACGGTAAATGAAAGAAAAGAATGCAGAGAAAGGCCATTGAAGGTACCTGTATATTGCTTTCAGTTCATGAGGTATATCTGGAATATTCTGAACCGAACCGTCCACATGTATTATTTTGTTTTTAATAACAGGAGACCAAAGACCCATCTCAGTTAAATCATGAAGAAGATGTTTGTTTACTACAACAAACTCCCCGCTGGCAATAAAGATACAAAATGTTTTAAGCAATTGACAGCAAATAGATGAAAGGGATGATCAATGGGAAATCAGAGCATACCTCAAAACTCTACGACTATATATGTTGGAAGTATATGGCTCAAAGCATTCATTGTTTCCAAGAATCTGGCTAGTGGAAGCAGTCGGCATAGGTGCTAACAAAAGTGAATTTCTCACTCCATTCTTAGCTATCATGTCCCTAAGAGCAGCCCAATCCCACCGATCTGAAGGATTAACACCCCACATGTCTGGTTGAAGAATGCCCTGAAATTGAAGAGACAAATCAAATTCAATAACCAAATCCAAACTCTTTAAATGCATTTTAAAGAACTATAAAAATCACCAACCTTACTGACAGGACTCCCATTATATGTCTCATATGGCCCTTCTTTCTCTGCTATACTAGAAGAAGCTTTCAGAGCATGGTAGTATATGGTCTCAAATATCTCCTTGTTCAGCTGCTGAGCCTGAAATTCAAAACCAATATAATATCAGATAAATCAGATTTGGGTTAAAGGTATACCAAATCAATGTATTTGTAGATCAAATATACCTCAGGTGAATCAAATGCCATCCCAAGTAAGATAAATGTGTCTGCAAGCCCCTGAACTCCAATACCAATGGGTCTATGACGCAAATTTGATCTTTTGGCAGTTTCAACAGGGTAGTAATTAACATCAATGATTTTGTTAAGATTTCTGGTTACAATTTCAGTAACCTGACACGACATCCCAAGAAAAGGAAATCACAATTATAATAATATTAACAGCAATATTGATGCATCCCATCTCAAAGATGGATGGACTACATTTGCAAGGTAAAGAATCAAACCTCTGCCAATTTGTCAAAGTCAAAAAACCTATTCTGAGAACCTCTACTCCCAACAAGCTTAGATGGATGGGACTCCAGTGGAACGCCCTGAAGAGAAAATAAGTAATAAGGCTAATTGTGTAAATAAGCAGACCCTAGGCAGCAACTATCCACAACATAGGATTATGTATCACTTGCCTTTTCTCTCACATATCTAGGCAGTGCAATAGATGCCAGATTGCAAACAGCTGTTTCAGTTGGACTTGTGTATTCTATTATCTCAGTACACAAATTTGAAGATTTAATGGTGCCAAGATTTTGCTGGTTGCTTTTTCTATTGCAAGTGTCCTGAAATAAAAGTGAGGTGAAACAAAGGGTTGAGATCATAGTACTCATTTAACATAAATACACAATAAATATAAAGTTGGTTTGGACAAATCACCTTAAATAGCATGTAAGGGGTCCCAGTTTCTATCTGTGATTTCAGGATCTCAAACCACAGGCTCTGTGCTTGGACAACCTTCTTTGCCTTGCCCTAGATATTAAACAGAAGTTTTAGTAATTTTTTCTGTTGGAAAAAAGAATAACAAAAGTACAACAGTATTAACCTCTCTTTCATAATGAATGTAAAGCTTTTCAAATTCTTCACCCCAACAATCTGCCAGACCTGGAGCCTCATTAGGGCAGAATAATGACCATTGCCCATTGCTCTGGACCCTTTGCATGAAAAGATCAGGCACCCAAAGGGCATAGAAAAGATCACGGGCACGGTGCTCTTCCTGCAGATACAAAATTTAGACCTTATTTGATATAATATAATATAATACTTTACATTATTGCAGCAACTTGGAATAAGAATTTTAGAACTTAATGCAAACAAATACAGGCAATGTAAAAGTACCTTTCCATGGTTCTTCCTAAGATCCAGAAACTCAAAAATGTCAGCATGCCATGGCTCCAAGTATACAGCAAAAGCACCTAAACATATGGACGACATTTTTAACAAAAGGGAAACCAACCATTGTTATAAAACATTATAAAGAACAAAGCATACCCTTTCTTTTCCCCCCTCCTTGATCAACATAACGAGCAGTATCATTGAACACCCGCAGCATTGGGACAATTCCATTAGAGGTTCCATTTGTTCCACGAATATAACTGCCCATGGCCCGAATGTTGTGAACTGAAACACCAATACCTCCAGCTGATTTGCTGATAACAGCACACTCCTTCAAAGTTTCATATATTCCTTCAATACTATCATCCTTCATGCACAAGAGGAAGCAGCTACTCAACTGCCAGAAACACAATCCAAGGAGAATTAAGCATGTAAGCAAAAAGAAATGAATAAAAAATGACTTAAGTTCAAGAACTCAATCTCATATTTCTACACAACATACTTGAGGCCTTGGAGTTCCAGCATTGAAAAGTGTGGGAGACGCATGAGTAAACCATCTTTGAGACATCATGTGATAAGTTTTCATAGCAGAACCAATGTCATCCTTATGAATTCCAACAGCAACTCTCATCAACATGTGCTGAGGCCTTTCTATAACCTTCCCCTGAACTTTCAGAAGATAGGACCTCTCAAGAGTTTTGAAGCCAAAGTAATCATAATCAAAGTCCCGATCATATATGATCTCACTATCCAACCGAGCAGCATTCTAAAACCAAAATAGTTACACAAAAAAGAATCAAAACATAAAAAAATGCATTACAGGTAAAAGGAAACAAAAAAAGAAATGGAATATTGCAGATATTAACTACAAGAAGATATTAACTATTGAGTGAGAATAAAAATAAACACCAAACAAACAACCAAAAGATAACACATTCTGCCTTTCATAAATTTGCTTCCACATTGTTGTGCATAAAGATTTGGGATGATATGGATTTTGTAAGGTCGTGATGTTTTTAGTTTGCACACTTAGATTCAAACGTCATAAGCTAGATACAAATGATGTTCACATTAAAATTGGATTACTTTTAACTTCCTGTATTTCAATCCTACAAACATGCCAAAATTTGAAATCGCGCAATTTTGACGTAATTAAAATGTAAAAGTTAAACCATAGGTAAGGGAAAATAAGAAAAAATAAAGATGATCATAGTACCTTCATGATGATCTCGTAAACATCATCAGCAATCAAAGGAGCCTTCAGTCCAGATCTCTCATTGAAATGGTTGTACATGATTTTAATCCTACATTTACAACCCACCCATTCTCAAAATATGAGTTGTCTACCTCCCAACAAAGAAAGAAGCATTGTAACTAGAAATCAAAAGCACTTACGTCTCAGAGAACGATTTCTTGGTATTTTTATGCAAATTCGAAACAACAATCCTAGCCGCCAACTGCAATCACACATTTTAACCAGTAAAAATTAACCATGTTTCGGAATTTAAACATCAAAAGAAAAAGAACCCTTACGGATGCATAATCGGGGTGGTTAGCGGTCATGGCAGCGGCAGTTTCAGCAGCCAATTCATCAAGCTGGCTAGTAGTAACCCCTTTGTAAACACCAGCACAAACCTTCTGAGAGACGAGCACAGGATCGCAGTGGTCAATGCTAAGCCCGTAGCTCAGCTTCTTCAACCTGGCGGTGATCTTATCAAAATGAACTGCCTCTTGCCTCCCATCTCTCTTAATCACATACATATTTATTGAGGTAGATTTGTTTTTGTTAGTTTTCAGGCGCACTATCTCTAAGGAATTTGGTCGAACAGGTTTGAGGCTTGAGGAGAAAAGGAACCCATAGCCTAGTTTATATAATAACAGGCGGGGGTTGGGGGAAACTTACAAAGTTTTTGAAATTAGGGATTAGGATTCCCTCTTGATTAGAATTTTTTTGAAAGTTTCCCGCCAATAATGGATGAGGACGGGAGCGATGAACTTTAATTGAAATTGAATGCCAATTTTTCCTTTGTTTTTCCTTTAAGAGGATGCCCGTTTTTGTTTTGTTTGAGCTGTTGTGGCGGGTAAATGGGAAGGGTCAACGTATAATAGCTGGCAAGTGGGGTCCACGTATTAATTTAAAAGTGTAAAGAGTGCCAAGGAAGTTTCAAAGGTTTAAATTAAGGTTAAACTACAAATTTGGTAACTTAACTTTCATACGATTCCTATTTTATTCATCGTACTTTCAAAATTTTCAATTTGCTCACTTAACTTTATGGATTGAACTTTTTTAAGTCACTCCACCGTTATATCACTAACAGCTCATTGATGTGAAATATTTTAATATTAAAGATTTCACATTGAATTTCCACATAATAATAATAAGGGTAAATTACAATTTTTATAATTGAACTTTCATATGATTCTTATTTAACTCGTTGTACTTTTAAAATTTTCAATTTTGCTCACTCTGTCGGTAATACCTCAAATTTTTTGTTAGTGATTAAAACGTAAGTTTTAAATGTTTGGTGGTTAAAGTATAAACTTTGTAAATATTTAGGGACCAAAATTATAATTTTAAAAAGTTACATATTTTAGCCCGTAAATAAATAGTTTGTCCTAAAACAATAATTTTCGTAGGAATCAGAATTTTGATACATGATTTGTATTAAAAGTTAAAAAACGATAAAGTTTGTATAGAAATCAAATAATCGGATCAAACCAGAATTTCACGAAAATTTGAAGGATGTTAGGTAAGGGTTGGAAATATTATTTACATATTTTATATAAATTAAATTTAGCAAGGATTGGAATTGAAGTTAATCATTCAGATTTGGCCAAATATTAAAAATTTAGTGACTAAAATATAATTTTCAAAAATTGCATGGCCAAAGTAGAAATTCAAAGACAAATTAGTTCATATTTGTCTAATGAATATTTTAATGGAATATATTGCAATGGCATTTGGTAATTATCAAGATTCATTTATGGCAATTTTGGGATTTCTCATTAATTAAATTTTTAAATTCAATTATATTGGTTTTAATATAAATGTATTATACGAAAATTATTAGAATAATTAAGAATTTCCCATCTTCAAGCTCTCTTGGTCGAAACTTCATAGCTCTCTGAGGTAAAATTCGTTTTGATTTTTGAAGCTATATGATTGATTTTTGGATTAAGCTATTAGATAGAGAATTAATGTACATGAAATTATCTATCATTTGGTATAAAAATTACATGGTGAACATGCTTATATGATGAATGTGGAAATTAGGGTTTATGAAGGGTTTGTTGATTTTGAAGAGTTGATGAAAGATTATTAAGTTATCGATGTTGTAGATTAATTCTAAAACACGTGTGATGATTAAAATGATGTGTAGATGCCTATATAGTGTTCGACCAAGTTAGGGTTTATGGAGAATAAGTGGATTTTGATTTAATTTGATATGGTGATGGTTAGAATAACATTAATTTGATGTAAGGAAGTTGTATTCATGCTTGAAATTGAATGGAAATCAAGCCCTAAATTACTTAGGGTATTCAGCCATAAAGGGAAAATTAAGGGGAAATATTGAAAGATTTTCTATGGTCTAGAATTGATATTGGATGCATCCTATATGATTTGGAGATCAATTTGGAACCTTGAGATAGCAAAAGGGTTATTTTGTAAGTTTTGAGAATTGTGGGAGATTGATGCATAAATGTGTAAATTGGAGTACTCAATGTTGAATTTAATTACATATTGTTAGAATTTTAAGTTAAATAAATGATTTGGGATCAAAGTAGTCTAAAAAATTGGGACTTAATTGTGAGTTTTCAAATGTGATGATGTTATTTTAGTATGAAATTTCAATGTTTGATATTTATATTAGTATGTTGATTTTTAAGTTTAAATATTGGATTGAGAATGAATTACAAGTTTATAAAGTGGGTGGTTAAATTTGAAAAGTCTACGGAAACAGAGGATGGCATTGCAAGTTTTTGAATGTTAAAGTATTGAATTGAGTATTTTATTAAGGTGCTAGAAATTTTAGTAGTTAATGTGAAATGATCATAATGTGAATAACCATTGTGGTTTAAATGGAAATGTTGATATGAATTCTAAGAAGGAATCATAATTAGTAACTTGAATGCAAAGTTGGTAAAAGTTGAAGGGTTAATGTTAAATATTTATGAGATTGAATGGTTATTTTGGGAAGTTTGAATTTATGATGGAAATATGATTTAGGTTGATATCAATTTAGCATCGATTTTACATTATTGACTTTTATATTATTAAAGGTAATTTATGTTAGTATAACACTAACATATATTTCGAATACTTTGTGTTATTATGTGATGTTATCATACCACGATAAAAATAATGATTCGAGTGACATTAAAGGCATGTTAGTAAGAGTATTGTATAAAAAGTTCGGTAGTGATGCAAATGTGAGTGTAGTTTATTTAATTAATTATTTTGATTGAGAAAGATTTGTCAACCTCATATTATTTTGAAAGTATGATTTCTCATTAATTATGGATTATTTCCATAATGTTTATAAAGTTTTATGAATGGTTTAGGATATTAACTGCCCAATTTTATGTTTTATGATGATAAATTGAAAATGATTCTGATATTGAATTGTTGATTATTAACGATTATAATATAATCTAAAAAGCCCATTGTATGTTGCATTGAGAGTCATAGGTACACTTGGCATGCCATTGTGTTGAGTAATTATGATTCTGATATGGTACATTCGTGTACATTATGAATGACATCGTTGGTGAAAATGATATGATTGCACTTGATTGCATATTCTGATTATGATGATAGCACCATGAAGTGCTTAGCAAGCACATTACGTTTGACTCACGTACCTTGCATTCACTTAAATATACTTTGGGCTACTTAAACGAAACATGAAAGTATGAAACGTGTCTAAATGGAAAGAAATATGAAATGATTATTTTATTTGATAATGTTTATCATGATTTTAATAAAATCATGAGATGATATTGATTTTCAGGTTTTATGATAAAAAAATTGTCTTGAATAGTCGGTTTGAACTTTTAAGATTTTATTTGAGTTCTTTTAAAGGTTTTATTGTATTTATGCTATGTTAAATTGTTTTATCTCACCTTAAGTTATTAATGCTTCACAAAGTTTTATTTAGCGTGTGATGTTTTTCATGCGTATATTTTAGTGGAGAAAATGACATGCAATGAGGAACCTCTTGAGCATCTTTTTGGAGATTATTTGTTTTATTAGTATTAGTAAGACATATTTGATGTTTCTTTTGACTTTAGTGGCATATATATTATATTTGTTAGTTTACTTTATCAATTTTATTTTATCGTGGTATGTAATAGTAAACTATAACTATTTTGTTTTGGTTTGCTTTAGTATATTTGAATTTTACGCGTAAATATATATATATATATAATGGTTTTCAAATTAAGCAGTACTTAGGCAATTTTAAATAGTTTATGGAACAACATTAAACTGTCTAATTGTTGCCTAAAATCATATCCATTTTAAATGATTTTTTTGTGATTTTACGCAATTAATGAAATAGTTTTAAAGTTGAGAAACAAATGTTTTAAAATGAAACAAAATTTTAAACATTTATGTTCAATGACTGTAATATTAATGTAACATCTTTAGCTCGTACTTCGAGACATATACTGGTTATATGTGTTACACTGTTGTTAAACTTCTAATCGTCGAAAATCATCCACCACTACCCTCATTGCCGATCCCATCTCCAACCATCGATGGCTCGCCTCTATAAGCACAGCGTCGCCTCCCGATCGAAGCCGTGTCTTTTACCATTGATGAAAGTACTTCATTCATCAGAAAATCATAGGAAATCATTCGATGATTCACCATTGATATCAATCGAGGTTGGATGGTGATCGTCACTGCCAGTACTGGTGTGTGTGTTAGGCCAACAAGATCAAAACCTAGTGGTCGATCGTCAAGGCTCCCAGCTGTTCGTCGTAAAGAAGCCGTCAAAGGTTCGTTGAAAACCAAAACTTCCCATCAGTTTTCATCGATTTTTAGACACCCCGACCGTCTGTTCGTCTCATCGTCGCCACCGCTGAAGTACTATCCTCTTTCCAACCAAAACCCATTTGATTTGCCCTTTCACCGTCGCTGCCTTCGTCGGTTGTCCATTCGTGTAATCCCGATATAGTGACCAAAAAAACTCAATCTATAAAGTTGAGTGAGAAAAATGAAAATTTTGAAAGTACGTGAGTAAAATAGGAATTATATGAAAGTCCAATTATCAAATTTGTAATTTACCCTTATTTTTTTGTAGGATATAAAACGACGCCATTTTTATAAAGATTTCCATGTCATAACATCGTTAGCTATTTAACAGTTGAGTGACCAAAACATGAGCAATTTAAAATTTGAGTGAGCAAATTGAAAATTTTGAAAGTACGATGAGTAAAATAGGAATCGTATGAAAGTTTGGTTATCAAATTTGTAATTTACATATAATTTAAATTAAAATGTAGTAATGATGATTGGATGTTGTTTTGTTAAATTTATTGGTTATTGAAGTTTCAAAAGTAACAAATTAATCACTAACACTGTTGATTTGTAATAAAATGGCCACTCTGCCATTATCTCTATTAAATTGATGATGTGACACCATTAATAAAAAAGTTAATATTTAGTTTTATCCTTAAACTATTGTTAAAACATTAAATAGGTCATTAAACAATGATTTATATCTAATTTATCCCAAAAGCTTTATACTTTTCAGTTTTTTTAAACACCTCATCATCACAATTATATTCTAACCATTTTCCTTACAAAACAAAAATCACACTTAAATACTCTCTCGTTTGTCTATAAA